GAGTGGCCTGAGATGTGACACAAACAAGGCTGTGCTGCCAGCTAACAGCACACCCTGGGAGCAATGCAAGAAAACAGCTCAGCAAAATCAGCTCTAACAGCATTGTGCTGCAAGTGCTGAAGGAGGCCTTTAGAGGCAAACCYAATGCCACAATCAACTCTCATTGTTTATTTTGCTGCTCCTTATGCTTTCCAGGAAATGTCTTCAGTTTGGGTTAGGAGAATAGGAAAACAAGTAACCACCCTCTTCGTAGCTTAATAATACATTTAGCACACACAAATAAAAAAGGCCTTGCTCTAAATTTCAAAATGTTGATTATTACTATACAGTGCATAAAGGTCCTATGCATTTGCCTTTCACATCTCTGAGAGCCTGACCTTATGTGTAAAATTCAACTGATGGCATGTGCTTTCAAATAAGTCACATTTTTGTTTGGTTTTTACAAACAAAACATTATTCAATCAAGCTGAAACCTAACTTCATAATAAAATTRCCTCATTAAAAAATGACAGCTATTACTATTGACTAATGACAACCAAAAGTATGTATCTTTATGTCAACAACTTTAAATATGGCAAACACATTTAACTGTATTACTAAACAAAAGCTATGTAGGKAAACACTAAAACACCCTTATCAATCATGGACTTAACGTTCAATTACCTGGGCTCCACACTGAGGAAGTTGGGCAGCTTCACAAAATACAAATCGTTACCCAGGTCTGTGTTTACTTTTGGTATTTCTACCTCTATTCTGGTCTCTGGAATAGGCTCTTCTTCCTGCTGTTCTTGATTCAGACCATTCTCATCCTAATGAAAGAAAAAGAACAGGAGTGTAAGTAAAAAAAGTCTATCTGGCTACTACTRCTTTAATAAGCCCATTTTGCTTAAAGTCATACATAGGCACAGGGAGATCAAGAAACTTTGGATAAAAGAATTCAGATATTTTCATTGAAAGCAATTCAATTCAACATTTTCAKGTGCCACTTAATGTGACTTCAAATACCAATGCCAACTCAAGACCAAAGACAGTAAAGAGCAGCAAAGGAGCCAATAAAGTTTCACTGAAAGCTGAGCACTGAAGGCTCTCTGGGGTACAACTTCTACTTAAAGTCACTGCTCTTTTTTCACTAAAATATTAACAAACTCAATTGGTTTTCTGCATTTCAGAGTGAATGGCAAGTTAATTATCTCAAAAGTCAAGTCTACTCACAATGGGCTGTCCTGGGGTTGGTGGCTTGTCTTCTCCATCACTCCCTGAGGAAATGTCATCAGCACCTCCAAACAGATCCATCACATCTGCATGCTCTTTAACAGAAACATTATGATTTTWAACCACACATGTATGTGGACACACAGACCTCATGCAAGAACACTCACAGAAAAGATTAACATATCCCACACTTYCATTAACACTTAAAATCACCTACAAACATTAAAGTCACGAACATTTATGAAACACGTATTATTCACTTATGCTGAAAAACAGTTTTATCACKTATTTTTAAGCTAAGGATTCAAGGYGTGTTTTCCTGGGAAAGCATAATCAAATGAGGAAATCAAGTTGAAAAATGGCAACAGAACAGTATTAAGATAATCCATTCAAGAAACTGAATAAAAATAAACAAATTTCATTACAGGTTTTGGAGGTTTTACTTCTCAGAAAATAAAAACCTCTTTCTCAGCCAGYTAAACCATTACAAAAAACCAGAAGAGGTCCCCTGCGCTGCTCTGATTAAAGGAACTTTTTTTAAACATCTTTCAGCAAAAATGCATGAAAGAACATTCACAGAAGAGAAAAGCTGACTGAGCCAACTGGAGAYGATGAGCAGCACTACAGCATGTAGCTCCCACACCCAGTTCCTGATGGCTGTTTTGTTATTTCCATGGCACTGGACACCAAACRCTACCAATTCTATCAAGCACTGGAGCTGATGAATGGCTCAAAAGGAGGATTAAAGGAACCAAAACCCCACAAAATCCCCTCTCCATTTACCTTTCTGCCCTTCCGTGTCGCTCTCAGCTTCTGAATCTGATGCAATTGGTTTCTTTCGCTTCATTCGCAGAACTTCATCCTCGCTGTCACTGCCCCTTGCAGACTCTAAGGAGCATAATTATTCTCAGCAAATAAAAAATTTTGGTCCACAAATTTAAAAATTTCTCTGAATTAATACTCTAAAAGTGCTGCATAAAAAAAAAAAATTACAAAGATGACTACAGTTAAAAATTATCTAATTAATGCCTTTACACTGAAGTTTGAATTTTTTCAGGCCCATTAAATAAAACAATAGAGACCAAACCAGCAGCAAGTCATTATTATACCAATACCATTATTATACCAATTATCATTATACCAATATCATTAGGTATTCAGTCCTACCAGATTTGTGCTCTTGCTCTTCCTCATCAGAGTGCTGGGCCCTCTCCTCATCATCAGAGTTCTGAATCTTCTCCTCGTCAGACCGCTGGGCCCTTTCATCATCATCTGAGTTCTGCATCTTCTCCTCATCCGAGGCCTGTGGCCTTTCCTCATCATCAGAGTTCTGCATTTTCTCTTCATCTGAGTTCTGGAGTCTTTCCTCATCATCAGACACCTGTGGCCTTTCATCTTCATCTGAGTTCTGCACTTTTTCCTCATCGTCAGAGTTCTGCTGTCTCTCCTCGTCGTCAGAGTTCTGCTGCCTCTCCTCATCTGACTGATCACTTTTGTCCTCCTTGCCCCACTTCTCATCCTCTGAGTGGGCTTTTTCGGAGCCATCTCCCTCTGAATGATGGCTGCCTTCGTCTGAGCCGTGCTCACGATCATCCTCATCATCATCATGAGCAGCCTCTGAAGCGCTGTGCTGGTCCCCGTCCGACTGCTCATTGTCCTCGTGCTCAGAGTGCCCCGAGCCCTCGGAGCGATTGTAGGATCTGTCCGAGTGGTTGTCGCTCCCTGAGTGATGGGAGGCCCCYTCGTCCTCGCTGTCATCTCCAAACAGCTCCTTGTTACTGGGTTTTATTGCCTCCCTGTCATCGTCCTGGTCACTGTCGCTCCCAGAGGCATTGCTGCCAGAGCCAGCGTTCTCCTGSTCAGAATCTGAATCAGATGCAGAATCGGAATCTGCAAAACAAACAACACCCGTTCAAGAGTCAGGCTGCCCCTGTGAGGATGCACATGAGATGATGTGCATTGCWTTATCAAAAATCCCCCAAAAATCCAAACCAGACAGAGAACCTACGGAGAACTGTAAGCAAAACCAACAAAAGTTACTGACAACAGTAAAATAAAATGTCTGCTAATACAGGCACAGACAAAGAAAGGCACAATGAAAAATGATGGATGTTACATAAAGTTTCAAACCACAAACCTGTGATCTAAGATTCTAAAATTTTTGAAGGAATAAGGTACGCAAACGAAGATAATAATTGAAACAGTGAGGGCTTGTACAAGTAACTGTATAGACGTGGCTTATGAGATCCTACAAATCCAGAACTGTCACTCRATATATTTAATTCGAGTAATCTGCCCAGGGAGGTTTATGACAATGGAGCTATTCCTCAGAGCCGAAGCTGGTGAGTGTGGTACCAAACGGGAAAATAAAAGAACACCTGCCTGGGAAAGTAATTTACAGGAACGCGGACAAGAATTTTAAAAACTGCAGGGACTTAAACCAGAAGGTGTTCCATCACTGCCAGAGCTCAGCTGCAGCCAAACAACCTCCCCTCCACGCACCGACCCCTCGCAGCTCCGCGCCGCCCGCTCCCTCCCTCCCTCCCGCCCGCATCAGGTGGGCCACGGCAGAGGCGAAGCGGGGCGGGGGGCGCGGCCCCCAGCGGGGCACCCCGGGCGGAGGGAGGGAGAAAGAAATAGAGAGAGAGAGAGAGAATCCCCCCAGACCTTTGTGCTCGGGCTCCGAGTCCGCATCGCTGCCGAACAGATCCGCCATGTCGGCCATGGCGGCAGCGCGGCTCCGCCGGCGCCGGGCACTGACGTCACACTGAGCGCCGCTAGCGCGAGCCGCCCGCCCCCCGGGCGCTCTTAAAGGAGCCGCCTCCTGTTAAACGGGCGCGCCCGCCGCCGGGCGGGAGATGGCTGTGCCGGGAGATGGCCCCGCTGCCCCGGTACCGCCACGGGGGAGCGGCACCGCCGGGCCAGTCCAGGGCAGCGGGTGCCAGGCT